CACACACACACACACACACACACACACACACACACACACACACACACACACACACACACACACACACACACACACACACACACAAACAGACATACACCTCTCTGCTGCTGCTTTAACCCTTTAAAACCGGTCGGAGTTTGTTGTTGTTTTTTTTACCTTCGGAGCCTTATAAGCCTGTACTGGTGTTTTTAAAAGTCATGTTTGACTTCATACTTTTCTGAATAGTTTCTGGGATGCTTAGAACTCAAATTGCACTGCTGAAAATAGTTTATTTTGATGTACATGCTGTATTTTTGCAAATTTGCATTATGATATTTATTTTCATTTTTCCAGCAGTATATAAAAAATTGGTGTGAAGACACTCAAAATAAATTTCCTGTTGTTAGAAACTATTTTGTGCAACTTTTTTGTATTTACAAACTTCTTAAATTTCTCTAACTAGAAGTATATGTAAAAAAAAAAAATTCAATTTTTTGTAGTGTATTGTACTTTTTTGCAATTTATGTAGTTATTATAGACTTAATGCATACATATTACCTAATTTTGGGCTATAACAGCTATACTGATGTACAGCAACTTGAAATGCTCCCAAAAATGGCACTACAGCATGTAAAAATATAAATATAACTCTAGTGGACTTGGTTCTATGGTAGGTCCTAAAGGTTTAAATAAACAGAAAAGTCATTGTGAAACAAATGCTTCCCAAAAAAAATACTACAAGTCGTATTGACAAAAATAAATGCTTTTCAGCATTCACACTAATAAAGATTTGAATAACAATGCTGTGAATGCTTTTCAGCATTCACACTAATAATAATAAAATAGTATAATAATAAAGATTTGAATAACAATACTGTCAATACTTATCAGCATTCACACTAATTAACAAAAAATCCAATATGGGATTTTTTTTTAAACAAGAACAAAAGACAGAGTGAACTTGTATTTAGAAATGCATATCTAACAGGACTCTGGAGGTAGAGCAGGTCATCCACTAATCAGAAGGTTGGTGGTTCAATCCCTGGCTGTTATAATCTGCATGCCAAAGGATTCTTGGGATACTGAACCCCAAGTTACTCACCGATATGATAAGTGTGAATGCTACATAGAAAGCACTTAAGTACAAAAACAGTAGAAAAAAGTACTTCAAGTGGAAAGGTTCTTTATAAGAAACAGTCTATCTAAAAAAATCTATTATCAAACAGATTGGTTGATGCAGGATAGTTTAATTCTCATTAAGATTTTCAGTTACACAACAATAACTGCCTGCCACCAAATGAGATGTAAAAACAATTCCTGATCCTGATTCTATCACATTTGTAAAACAAATTGAGCCAGGGGAGTCCTGAATTAGGGTCCTTTCCCCAAAATGTAAACACATATACATTCACTCAGGTGAGAACAGATTCTATTTATCATCACATACCAGGGTTTAATGTTTTCCAACAGAAGACAGCCCAGACATGGTCACACGGCACGTGGAGCAGCTTACCTTCAAACATTTACCACAAATTTTGAGGAGCCTCCTTTACTTGGACTGAACTGTACTGGTCCATAATAAATAAATAAATTATATATATATATATATATACAATATATATATATATATATATATATAAGTATAATGAATATATATAATATATATATATATATATAATATATATATATATATATATATATATATTAATTAATATATATATAATTAATATATAAATAAATCAGATGAAAAGTTTAATCCCATGCCATAGCAATTATTCTCAGGCTTTATACCAGGAATGGACCAGGAATGAACAGGTAGACAGGTATTATTAATGTAAGTTAGAGAATTTTTCATGGAGTTCCACAGAGTTCTGTCCTGGAACCAATACTTTTTACATTATATGTTTCCCCTCATGCAATATTATTACAAAACACATGCATTTTCATTGCTATGCAGATGACACCAAGTTATATTTATCTACGAAATATGATAACATAATGTATCATAACATATGATAACAAATATGATAACACCATGCAATTACTTAAACTACATGCATGTAGGCAAAGGAACATCCATGCAGGAATTAACATCTGCACATCAACTTGCTATAAGAGCTGCATAGTAGCAAACTCTCCAAAACCAGCTTTTTTAAATGTCTGTCAACATACAAATGCTCTTATAATTAAATGAGTTACAGTTGCATTAGAAGCTATTACAACTGTAACGCTAATTGTAATGTTGAAAATCTAACCCTCTAGTTTCCATGCAAATTTTAAGGGGCTCTTCCATTTAGATTTTTTAAAATGTAAGAAGTAGTGGTGTTGTTATTCCACTGTGTCCCCACACGTGTGCGTGTGCATGTGTGTGTGTGTGTTAGAGAGAGAGTGAGACAGAAAGAGGGAGCGAGACAGAGGGACAGAGTTGAAAAATTCATGTAAGCTCTTTAAGGTCTTTTTCAAATCATTACACTAATTCCATATTCAGACATCTTCATGCAATGCAAACAACTATCAGAATTTTACATACATTATATAAACGATACATGTTTTTCAATGCCTGATAAAACTTTTATACAAGCTTCTGTTTAAAGATATACAGAGCCAGTTATACTTGTATTGCATTTGAGAATTTGACAATATAAAAAGGCATATTTAAAAATTGCCCACCATCCCTCAAAACACAATGATAAAAGCTACAAACAAGTGATGTATGGAGCTGGATGCACATAACAGAGGTAGAAAATACCCATGGAAGCAAAAGCTAGCAACATTATCCAGCCTGATATCACGGCAAAGCATGTAATAGGCACGTTGGTCCACCGTATCTATTACACACTTTGCCAAGATACTGGACTACATTATCTGTCATTCCGTAAATATCCATAAATAGCCTGTGAAGAGAAGCAAAGCAGACACTATTTCATGCAAGTAACAATTCTAATTTATTGTAAATGCGTTTATATTGCACAATTTAATAAAACCCTGATTCCTGTAATTCACACTTAAGCTGCTGTAACAGAATATTTGGAGGACAACACTGAGTGAGATTTATGTTCTCATACCTGAGGAAAATTTAGGAAAAAAATTAAAAATTCCAAAGCTTTCCAGAACCAAACTGTTTGCAAGACATGAACTTACAAACTTACAAGCAATCTTGTTAACTGAAAAAATATATTTGGAATCCACACATTTTACAACAGCACATCTTTGTGTGAAAGATAAAAAAACGGATCATGCATCAACACAGTGCGATTAACATCTGTCTGCATGGTCCTTTTCCTGTCCGTGTATGGCTTTGCAAAGATGAAAATGGAAACAATAATAAACTCTACCTGAATTTTCAGCATACTGTTTACGGAAAGTTTAGTTTGTCTGAGTTATAAACATCACAGATAGTTGTGTTTGAAGTAAGAGATGGTGCAAAAGGCATGTCTAATCCTTTCAGTTCAAATTGCGGCTCCGGATCTGATGAGAGGAAGTCTGGACCGACTGAGGGAGCTGGAGTGGAAGCCTGGTTTTCAGGTACTGAAACCTGGAGACATCGGTAAAATGAAAAAAGGTGCATAAGCACAGTGGGTAAAATGAATCAGTCACTGACAGGCCAAAAATGCCTCTGAATGAGGAAATTTCTGTTCTTAGTTTTATGCATTCATGGGGATTTTTGTATGTTTGTTTGTGTGTATGTACCTCAGGCTGAGCGGGGTTCTCATGGATATTCACTTTGTGGTACAACTGTGAAGTTAGGAAAAAGCACATGAGTCAGAAGAGGAAAGAGGATGAGCGCTAATGTGAGTTGCCAGGCAGTCCCAGACGAGATAAAGACTTAGTGCCCCAATCCACAAATAACTACTATTTCTTTTAAAACAACAAAAGTGGCTGAGTTCCTTTCACCTCTCTTTTATCTTTGCCTTGAATATAAATCAAGCTTTACACCTACCAGTGGCTCAGAGGAGGTAGCTGAAGGTTGTGTAGAAATATGAGAATTCACAGGCTGATAAGACAAAGCTGAAGGATGTGAGTAACTTGGGCACGCAGGTTGATTCTCAATCTGTAATTGGAATAAGAATTTTAAAATTTTATAATAAGAACATCAAATATTAACACAGCTGGTCTTAATTTCCACTTAAAAGAATACTTACATGATAATATACAGCAGGTGCAGGTGAGGCTGCAGTCTGAGGAGCAGACTTGTCCCTTTTACAGCACTTTTTACAACAACAGCAACAGCAGATGATCCCGACGACAATCAAGGCAATAACGGCCATAAATATAAACTGTGGCAACATTTCTGTAAGAGTATGGAGAAAGTTAGGGAATATGGTGTAGAGGGTGGGGGTTAATGTTAGTTAGAACTTCTACTCTATGAGGAGAAATGCTCTGTTGCTTACCAGGGGTCACTTCAAGCCGAGCACTCAAGATCAGGTTGCCATCTGGGTCTCTGAACTCAAAGGTGCCAGAGTCTCTAATTTCTGTAGAATTTATAATTATGCCATCCATCACTGCATGAATTCTGCCAGAAAAGCGATTATCTTTTATGATCAGACTGCCATCCATCAGTGTTTCGGGATCCATTTGGCCTTCAGGTGTAAAAGTCACGGTCCACTTCTTAGGACCCCGAGGGTATTCAATGAGAATGTGCTCATTCCACCTTGTTTCATAGTGTCTGGTTTGTTCTGTTAGTGACACAGATCAGACTTCATTAGAACATTTAATCTGGTAAAATGCAGAAATCTCACAGGCAGCTTCTCACATCACCTTTTACTTTGAGCAGCACCTTGGCCAACACAGAGTGGTTCTTATCCATGAAGTTGTAGTACCCACTGTCTGCCTGAGTGAGGTAAGACAGCTGCCAATTACCGTTTTTCACCTCAGCTCTGCTTTCTCTGATCTGAGAGTCTGTGCGATTCCACAGGATCTTTGGCTGGTCCGGACTGTGAAGGGGAGTAAACTCCAGGATTTCAGCCCATCTAGGGATAGAGTCCTCCCACGTATAGTAGTAATCCCTTGTGACATTTTTAGCACATTCTTAAAATGCAGATTAAGAAAAAAAAGGAGGGAACTTGTGCTTAGGAACAGGTAGCTAAAACACATACCTATATATTTTTGATCTAAATATACAGTACAGTTCAAATTCTTACCCAAGACTTTCAGTTCAACAACATCTTGTCGCTGGTAGCCACCAGATGAGACAGAATAAATTCCTTCATCTCTTTTTTCTACATCTGTAAGATAAATTGAGCCAGGAGAGACTCTGAAGCGTGTGTCTATTGCCTGAAAGATAGACAGCACATATATATTCCTCAGATTATAACATATTCTATATACTTTGATTTAATTGTTTCAAACATAGGCCTAACATTTATCATATTGCAGAAATGTAATGGTCACATAGAGGCTGCTCACCATCCCATTATTTATAACAACTTTTTTGGATCCCGTATTAGTTTCAGTAAAGTATATTGGTCCAGTATAACGTGAGGGTATATAATTAGATGGAAACTGCCACCTCCTGCCATAGCACACCTCATCAGTTTGTATACCAGAGGATGAACCTTTAATCAAAAAGATGCAAGAGAAGAAGAGACAGATGGAGGTAGTATTAATGTAACTGAAACCACAAACATCTGACAACATAATATCAGTTGTTTCCATTAATATACCAAACACACACACACACACACATACCGGTATTTTGTTACACTCTGAAAGTAATTTTGAAGACAAGGTTCTGGAACATCACTGAATTTACACAAATGCAGCAGCATAAAAAAAGCATTCTCATCCCCAAAGCACGAGGCAGAGTAAAGTATAACTCTCAATCTGATGAATTAACTCACATTCGTCATAAAGCATCAGAAATAAACCAAGTTATTATTAGCTGAATGAAGGAAATACATGAACAACATCTCACATCAGTAAATTACCCTCTTTTCAGCTCAGTCACCACAGCAGCTCCAAACCATTAAACCATTTCTGCCTTGCCTGTAACTTTGTCTCCAAACGGTTCAACCTGATTGGTCCCTCTGATGCACTCACTTCATCAGCCGCTATTCTCAAATCAGCAATGGCTGACCATCTTAGAACAGCAACTGGCCACTTTTAGATATCAGCACTACTGAGCCATTAACTCAAACCCATACATTACAAACAGCGAGGTGTATTAATGAAGCCAGATCTATGGCTTGACCAGCTATGCTGAGATGGCTAAGCTCAAAGTAAGAGTCACTGTGGTCATTTATGCTGGTGGCGGTCCTGGCCTGTTTGGCGCCCGGGGCGAACACTCCCTGTTTGTTTACTTGCACCGCGGTAACTGGAGCCTCGTCGTCTCGTCTCTCTATATACTGGACTGTATATAGCGGAGATGACAATAAAGTTTACTTTGACTTCAGCACAGCTACAAGCAGGCGCTCCTGCGCTCACTTTTCGCGTATAGAATTTCGAAAAAACATCGGTGCAAATTATAAGTCTGTATCATAATGTCTGGTGTTTTCGTGTTTGTTGTTTTGTTTTTATTTTGTTTTATTTTGCGAGTTGGTTATTAGATGCTGCTTCAGCCAGCCAGAGAATCCCCCGCCCTCTCCTCTCTGTGCCGTAAACAGCAGGCGCACCTCGCAAACGGAGGGCGCCCTTACTCCCAGGAAATGGGCGATAGAAAACCGATCGGTGCCTATGCCATTCCCAATATGCGCTGGCTGATGTCGGGGCAGCATGAGTACGAGCATTTTTTTAATTTTTTGCCGATGCCCGTGATGCCGCCCCCCACCACGATGCCGCCCGTTTCGCCCGTATCAAAAACCGCTAGGGAGCAGGTCAGGTTTTAATTTAAATCCTCCAGAAACGCAACGTGTTCACTGATTCTTTTATTTACAGCATGTTTTAGCTGTTAAGTGAAACCTTATTAAAAACCAATGAATGAAGCACAGAGTGTACAGGAATGTGCACATATAATTAATCAATTCGATATAAAAAGTATAAAAAAAATTTAGCAACAGATTAAAACCACGTATTGTTATATATAGCAATACGTGGTTTTAATCTGTTGCTAAGTTTCTTTAGCACTGCTGGAATTGCAGCTCCATGAACATTGAACATAAACCATGAACACCGTTTCAACTAATAAAATACCAAAAAGTTGACTCTGTTCATCTAGACACAGGATTAACTTTTTGGGATGTCCTTGTCTGGATGATTGAGCATGCATCAAGACAACCAATAAAATAATTACACTTTGATCTGCTGACAAACTGCCATTCGGCAGAAACGCTGCCTATTCGGATATTGGACAATGGCCTTTAACGTTTAAATAGATCCAGTTTAAAGTTTCAGAGCTCTAATCTGCAGCTGTTACCTTAAACAGCAGTGATAACGTGATTAACTTAAATGGATATGATATGTTTTTTCTTTAAATATTATAAATGACCATTTTAAGCGCCACTCTTAGGGGATTATCGCATGCGGACGATGAGTCACGTGACGCTGCAAAACGCCCATATTTACGTGTGAGCGCTCACAGAGCCGGAAGCAGAAGACAAATAAAGAATAAGAAAAAGTTGATTGCCACCGTCGTGCTACCCGTTATCTCTGACTGAGGTTATATGTTTTGTCAAACCAGCTAACGGAAAGAAATCTCGGCTGTGCTGAATTTTCTGGTTTCCGTCGTGTAAACATTTCCTTTCACTTTGCGGCTAAAGACATTAATGACAATGCATAAATACCGTGAATAGTTTAAAACACATAAATATGTAACTGTATATTTATATTTCAATGAAATTAATCAGATTATTGTTTTGTTTTCTTTCGAAAAACAATAAAAAAAAACAATATGCTTGCTTATTTATTTATTTTTATTTATGGGTGGATGTACGTTGATAGGTGTTTATGTTTCCCAAATAATTTATTGGTAAATGAAATGCACCAAGCACTAATTCTGGGAATAGCAGATGGGTGTGGAGACAATGCGTATTGTTCTTCCTGTGTTCTGCTACTGATTTAAATTGCATTAGTCTACAGCAGCCCCACAACACCAAACGTCTTTTACTACAACATGCACGCACTTTAATTCGCTCCGGCAGAGTGCCACTTAACACCTGGCTCCACGGAGAGATTGGATAACTTTGTACATGTTGTATCCACGGAGTGTGTGGCATGGAAATTAATTAACGTTTGTTGTAAATAATCCCAAACCATCGAGCGTTGTATTTCAGATTTCAGGTGTTTATATGTTAGAATGTGGGAATGAGCTCTACTCACCGAAGAAGACAATGGAAAACATCAAAAACACAAGCGACATGTCCTGCAGAAAAAGAGCAGAGAGGTGACTTGAGGCTCTTTTTTCTGAGTGTTTTTTCCCTCAGCTTCCAAGACCAAATCCGTACCGCATTCCCTTCTATAATGAAATGTTCGGATAACACACAAAAATTAACCCCGAAAATAGCAAATCAGTGACACAGGTGATGTTCAGTATTAAAAAGCCTGACTAAGAAGAAGTTGTGGACAAACAGAAAAAGAATAATGAGACCGTACTTCTTTTGTGTGATTGAGTTCTGTGCGTCCTGCAGCTGCTGGGTGGAGAAAAGAAGGACTGGGCGTGGCTTAGGCTCCACCTCTTCCACTGTAACTGCATACAGGGCCCATCTCCCAGGATACTTTTCAATAACAAACCAGGCATTTGTGTTGTTTCTGCCTCCAAGATCGCTTTTAAAACCACCATATCATAAATAAAAGCTGTTTAAAGGGGATAAAAATACAACTTTCGCACCGTTTTGTTGGCTGCCATCCCATTTCAAGTGAATTCAGAATGAATTCTAAAGGAATCGCAGTCAAGACGTTTTTAAACATGTTACATAAAAACACTGGGAAATAACTGGTCCGGTAACCTGCTTTATTTTAATCATGCATATAACCTATACTAAAAACATATTTAAAGTGTAAGCATGTGCACTGTCAAGGACTTTACTTATCTCATGTGACACATAAACCTCCCCAAATAAAGATAAACCACACACCCTACACTCCTGAAACAGCAAGTTTGCTCATTTACAAAGACACGAACAGTCTCTAATTTTTATGTTTGTTTCATTTCAACGGAGAGAGACAAAATTCAGGTGTGCCCATGTGGCACACAGATAAATCAGTTTTGTAATTTTACATTTATTTCTTATCATTTAAGCCAGAAGAGTTGTGCTGGGTGATTTCTATAGATTTCTATTGATTTCTATATATTAAAATAGAACAAAATGTCTTTATCATGTAGTAAAACTAAGATGTATCAATGAAATTGGACTTCTTATATTGAGAAATCTGAGGGATGTTGTCTGCCTACTTAAGATCAAAGTAGGCTGTGTAATATGGTGTAATAAGAGTTTGACATTCCTGCCATAGAAAATCAATAGAGCGTTTCTGTAAAGAGGAGTAAAAGAGATGAGTCCAAACGTGGTGACCAACTACAAGAAACATCTTACTGCTGCGCTTGCCAACAAGGGTTTCTCCACAAAGAACTTGCTTATGTCGTTCTTGGGGATAAAACACTTATTTCACTCAATGACATGAAAACAATTTATTATTTTTATGTAATGTGTTTTTTCCTGGATTTTTGGTCCATATTCTGTCTCTCCCATTAAAATGAAACTACCATCAAATCTAGAGACTCTTTATTTCTGGGGAGCTGGAGATCAAGTAATTTTCCCTCACTGTAGAAACTAACAAGTTAATTTTGTTAATTAACTTTTGTTAATTTTTTAACAAGAAGGAAAATTTAAGTGAGAGGATTTCCATTTCTTATGATCTCTTATATTTTCTAAGATCATCTCATCATTTGCACGTACAGTCAGAATCTGACGAGTTACTACAGAAGTCTAAAATCTAGCAGCTTAGTAAGAGGGAGGGAAAATATGTTCCCTTACAAGAACTGCAAAATGTGACGCACTTTGCGTATCAGCGGCCGAGAATACGACGTATCCATCGCCATAACAGAAGGGGGAGCAGTGGGCATGCGCGCTCTGCGGAGGTCGTCGTTATCCTCTTATCCTCATCCACAAAAACATTTTTTTTAAATTACCCTCACATCCTGCAGGTGAGTTCACATTACGCACAAACTGAGTAATCGTTTGTTGATGATCGGTAACTGATGACCCGGCAGCCAGTAGTAGCGCTGCAATGGTTCAGAAGATGGGAAACATGCTGGACACCTGAGTGGACATGACTTCAAAGAGCGGACAGGACGTCATGGGGGGACATGAGTGTGTGCAGTGCGCTGAGTCCGCACCGACATCATTTGGGCTGTCGCTGAGCTCCCCGCCTTTTGCAGCTTGTTGATTAATGATCGGATGTCCCGTCTGGCCGCTTGTTTTCGGAGGAGGGTTGGTGTGAATGTCAATTACGTTTACAGATGAAACAATCCGCTGTCTTTTACAGGAGAAGATGTCCTCCTGCGTCGTCTACACTGCACTTTTCACCCTTCCTTTTGCACTGGGTAAGTGTTGCACCAGTTTTTAATAAGACTACCCGTAGTTTTTCTGTTTCTTTCTGCTTAAATAATTATTAATAATGCACTTACTGGTGCTTTATATTACGGTTAGGTTATTCGTAGTAAAAGTGAAGTCAATGTTACTATTCAAAAAAAGTGACTAATAAATACATTTGTCGAAAACGTCACCATTATCTGCAGAATGTTTCTAGAAAGCCATTTCATTAAAGGGTCTTGGATTAAATAAAACAAAGGCAAAGAAGAATGGCCAGCCCAGATTTGAAGAGCAGAGATTTTTGTTTTTTAGCACTTCAACTCTGAAATATAATTCTCACAAATATAAATTTCCAACATGCAAAACTATAATAAATGTGAGAGGTGCCCAGAGAAAATGCAGTGGAAAAATATGCAGTATAAAGTCATTACGTGAACAGTAACAATTAATAAACGTGTACATATGCTGAATTAAAGAGCTTAAAAGTTAAATCACATAGCAGACTCTAAAAATCTGTTACAAAATAGATGACCTTAAATGACCTAATAACATAAAAGTAGGTCAACCTTTTACATATGTAGGAGAGTTTACAGTCCGTATCTGAGGTCTGAAGAAAATTATTAATTATGTTACTCGTACTTTTCCTGCAGGTTGGGAATTACTAGGTGAGTCAAAAGTCACATTTTACCGCTCATGCATCCTTCTTCTGCAGCACATGGTCTCCAATGATGTTGCTGACTTTCATTTGCACCTCGACAGGTGACCGAGAAAAAGTTCAGACTGTTTGCGTCGGGAAGGAGTTTCGTCTACCGGTGGACTCAACGTCGCGAATCGTGACTTTTACACCGTATCCCGATGGGCCGAAACGCATCCTGCTGGAGAAAACCACTGTGAGTGGACGAGTGTTGGCACTTGGGGTTTTTTGTGTGTGTGTGTGTGTGTGTGTGTGTTTGGTTGCTGTGTTGCCTAAAAATGGATCTGCCATGCAACTGTAGGTTAAGGACCCACGGTTTGAGTGGACCAAAGATAAGTCGTTAGTCCTGAAAGAAGTGAGTCATGCTGACCAGGGAGTTTATGCCAACAAGCTGTCCATGGGCTTCACCTACGAGACTGTCCGTCTGATCGTTTCGGGTATGACAGTTGCCTCTCTTTGGCGAAATTCATTGCTTTGTGTCATGATGCAAAAGAGCCATAATTTTTCAATGATCTGCCTCTCTTTGCTTGAAACATTAAGTTATTTAATAACTTAATGTGTCCATATGCTTTGATGTCACATAGGCAATCTATTCATTGCCTTAAAGCAGAGAAGTTGTAGCAACTGTTCTGACTCCGTGTCAGGTGTGTTTGTGTGTGTGTATATAACGTTTGCCAGCCACACCCCTGCTGCATAAAAAGAGGAGAGGTTAATTGGTATAAATATACAGCAGGTGTGGCATTACTTTACCTGCCCCCTGAACCAATCTTTCCCACCTCTCCTGCAGCTGAATACTGCCGTAAGCATGCATAGCCTACGAATGGTCCCTACACAAGTAATGTCAGGAAAATGTACTCATCAAAGTATCATAAAGAAAGATATATTATCACTTTTCTTTTCGTTTTGATTTGTGATCATTTACAGTACACTGATGTGTGTTAGGAGTGGGTCTTTTGCAATATCACTTTCCTTTTCACCTTACCTCGTGGTTCTTCGTCTTCCTTCAGAATGCATTAAACCCTACCGCAGAAACTATGGGGAGACCTTTGAGCACAGCATCCCCGAAAATGGCTCCCTGCTGGAGTTCTCTCACCGGGGCGCTCCGCCTGAGGCTGTGCCGGTCGTGCTTTGGAACCGGACAGACCCTGAAACCGGTAACGCTGGCCGGGGGCGGCTGCTAAGAGGGGGGAAGGTCTGGGTGGCGGAGAGAGTGACGCAAGCAGACCAAGGCAACTACACCGTGAGAGACGACAACGGGAAGGTGCTGGGTCGCAGCACCCTCACCGTCCGTGGTGAGCAGAGCAGAAACGTGGGTTTTAAGAAGCTGACTGACTACCTTTAACTTTGTGACTTTACAGTGCTAATGGTTTTGTTTTATCCTTCCCTTTCTATCTGATGCCCTCTCATACTTCCACATTCACCACTACTCCATTTTTCATGATTTTACACATGGATGGATGCAGGGCATTCCTTCAACATCACACGCTTTACCAAAGAGTCCATAATCCTGCCTCTATATCTTCCTCTTGCTCATGCCCATCTCATTTTTACCCCTGGCCATTTTCCTGATGAATCCTCCCTGGGCCCCTTTGACCCCAAACCCCCACGTGGCCCTGTGCAGCTCATCCGTGAGGGGCAGATAACGGACCATGACCTGCACTACAGGGGTATCATCTCACTGAGTAGGAATGGCTCCATCTACGAGGTGGTCATTGCAAGGCTGACCTCAAGGCATGATGGGCTGTATGAAGTTAAAGACAGGAATGGCAACCTGGTATCCTCCACCTACTTGCACGTGATCAGTGGGTATTCTGCCACGTTTTTGGAAGCATGCATCAATCAGAAGTTGTTTGATCCATAGTTGCCACTCCTCCTAAAATCCATGTGTCTGCCATCTTCTCAGACAAAAGGGGAGGGAGTTGGCGAGCGCTCCTCAAATCCGTCACTGTCCCTTCTGGCATGTTCGTGTCCCTGGCTGGTTTCATCCTGTTCATGAAACGCTACCCAAACTGTAGCCTCTCCCAACTCATCACGTGCTTTAGAACACACCGCACGCTGCCAGCCAACCCCCCGAGGGTCAACATCCAGGTGAGGAAACCAGGAGAGTCCACAGCTAAATAAATGATTACAAGCTGTCGAGCCAATCTTATTGCAGATGCATGCACTTTGACACCGACAGAAGCCACTTGTTGACGTTTTTTGACATTTCTTTTTTGCTCCAGAGAGTCTGATGAACTGAAGTATCTTTAAAAAGTATGGAGAAAAAAAACTTATGGTAGAAGCTCTTTATTCAGTGGGTATGTTTTATTTCAGATAATTTGTAGATATTTTTATATATTCTGTCCGAAGTATTTTGACTGAAGCTCTGTAGATGTCAGCGTGATGATGCCACACATATCACTAGCAAGGAGCAACCTGATATCA